GAAACAGGTTTCTTCATTCAAGTACACGATCGCTTATTTTAAAACGCCGTTGATTTAATTCGACAAAATAGGACTTTCTTCTTCCAAGACAATTCTGAATGCCTACATTGAGAAACCTGGTGTTTTCTTCCAAGGCGGACCCACCTTCGAATTAGTAAAAAATCCACGACAACGCGTTTACTTAAAATTAGTACGCATTTTTTTTCAGTGTTGCGATGATGCATGCGCAGACACTCGCGCTCAGCGCTCCCCACTCCCGACTCTTACGGTAGAACACAGGTAGGAACTCGTCGTGTGCTAGCTCCACACACAATGAACCAGCTAAGTAGGCCGGTAATAAGTCTGACATGGAGTCCATGTATGAATATTATCCAGGATTGACATACATTAATGGATTCATTATGGCTTTGAATATTTATTTAAAACAAAATTTGCAACATTTAATATAGATTGAATTAAAGAATGTCAAAAAAAACAAGCAGTCGTTGCTCCCCTGGTAAAACTGGCGACATCGCCTCACCAACTTAGGTGAGGCGATTCTTGGAACAGGCGATGTCGCCTAAAATATGTAGGCGATATCGCCTAAAATGTGTAGGCGATGTCACCTAGCATTGTGGGCCGTGTAAAAAGCCACCCCCCCCCAAAATGGGTTATGTGCGGGGATTATTTCAAAAACTGTGAAAAATGGCGTCCACGTGACACTGTTAGGCACTTTTGTTGGAATTTTAATCTGGATATTTTTGCCTGCTCCGGGGATTGAACCTGGGACCTCCCGAACGCTGAACGAAGATCTTATCTACTAAGCCAGCCGGCCTCCTGAAAACAGTAACGAAAAACCTACATTTAGCTTCGAATGAAACGTGCACTGTACAGCCCGGATATCTCGACCAGTTTTTATTGATTAGTTCGTTTTTTACTTTAATTGATTTCAGTTTATTACTTTACTTCATTTTATTTTTTACCTTTTTTTTCATTTTTACCTTTATTTCATTTTACATTATTTCATTTTACTCTACTTTATTATTTCACTCTATTTTATTATATTCCCTATTTTATTTTTTTAATTTACTTTATTTTTTAATTTTTTATTTTTTCACGCTGTGTTATTTTACTTTTTTCTCTATTTTATTATATTTTATTTTATTTACTATGTTTCATTTTCAGACTGCATTTTATTTTTCACTTTTTTTTGTTTTTTACTTTTTTCATTTTCCAACGTCCGCTTCTAACGTATATTTTTTTTACGACATTACATGTCTTTAATCTATTTTATTTTCACTTCATTCTTGATTTTACTTGACTTAATGTTCTAAATTTCCTTTTTTACATATATTTATTCTTATAGTTTTTTCCACTGTAGATATAAACAAGTTGGTTTTTGCAATCGCTAGCGATAGCAATATTCGTCATGGGAACTTTTGCTTCTGGGATATGAAAATTTTAAGGCACAGTTCGTTTGTAGTATCTTCAGAATTGAAGGGACTATGTAATTTTGTGTCGACATCTCTTTTTTAACATTTTTAATTTTTTTTCTTTGCATACAAGAAAGCTGTTATTTAACAATTATTTATTTTCGTTGGATTATGTATGGTTTTTGGAAGTTAACGCATTTAACTTTCAGTTTCGTTTTTTCGGCGTAAAGTATGATATTTTTACTCTACGCATATGCCCGAATACGCATCATAACGACGGTGAAACTACCAAACCACGTATCTCGTTTGCGGTGTTTAAAAATCTCCGCTCACATTTTATTTTTTCGAAGTAGACCAATTCAATATCATTCCTTGAAATTTTCACAGAATTTTCTCCGCACGAAGAGGAAAAATCACGGAAATTTTCAAGACTGGACGTTAAGTAGCTTTTCATTTAAAAAATAAAGTATGACAGGAAGTCTGCGACGTCGCAAACCGAGATACGTGGTTTGATAGTTTCACCGTCGATAAGTGACCTATGTGCTTCCTAAGTTGCCATTTTTTCATTCAAATAGATGTAACCGAAATGTTAGATGTGTACTACCTATACTACTTTTATGTCATTGCTTTATTTATTTATTTGTTTATTTAGTTTTTGCGTAGGTATAAATTGTTCTTTTTTGCTGAATTTTGGAGAAAATATTGCTTTAAGAACGTGGAATGTAAATTAATTTTATTGAAAAAAGAAAATACCATCATTAATTTGGGCGAACAGAGAAAATATACATCAATATTTGGGTCAACATCTCCCTGATTATATAAAGGATGAATATATTAGTATTTCTGTATCAAAAAACTTAGCTTTTGTCTTCAGAGATACGATGATTCTAGTCCCAGTCAATTTGTTTTATTGAAAAAACAAAAAAACAACTGAAATGTTAGACATACTATTTTCATGTCTTTCTATTTGTATCAATAGGTACTTTTTGCTTAACTTACGAACGTTGAATGCAAATTAACTTTATTGAAAAAAGAAAATAACGTCATTAATTTGGGGGAACATGTGGCTGATTATATGAAGGAGGTATATTCCAGTATTTTTGTTTAACATATTAACTCACGAGAAAATGTTCGTACATTTATCATCTACTATTAATTATTTTTTGATGATTAGTCTAAAACATTCAATACAACCATTAAAAAGTAGTTCCCATCGTCAGGTATCGAACTCCCGATCGCCGGGTGCCCGCACCTAATCAAAAATACGAAGCGGTTTAGTCAACTAGGCTATAACGGATCCACGTGAGTGAGTGTAAAAATAGCATTTAAAAGACTCGGGCAATGGGCGGGACTTATCACAAGAGACCTTGACTGCTTTTGAGATGTGAAGCGCATTGCTGTAGGAGCCATGGTTCGCACTGTTTTAATGCGTCTCGAGGTTCATCCCAGCATGCATTCCGATTGCGGCAGTTGAGCTAAGGCAATATTTGCGTATCCATGAATTAAATCAATCAATCGAGGTCTGATTTTGACTTATTTGTCCATAACGAGTCCTCCAGAGCAATTTTCCACCTTGTACGATGGTTATTATTTCTTTACTTCTATTTTTCAAATTTGAGGTGGGATAATGGCAGCTTCTCAAGAACACCGAGGTAGGCGATCTTTTGCACCAACGAACAGAAAACTGATGGCGAAAAATAACCAATCAGAACCTCCCAAAAAAAAGAATTTGCCCAAAAACGGAACTTCGTGGTTCTGCACAGATTTACCAGTCAGACACGACATCTCAAGGTGGAAAAAAACTCGCTGAAAGCGAATTTTACAAATCAACACAACTTGACGCAGAGACATGATTGGCTAAAAAATACAACGGTTTTTGATACATCGGAAAATCAACTAAAAATCGGAGACTGGGCGAAACGCTCAAGGTCGCAGAGGTATAGGGAATCCCATAGCGATAGCAACGGAACGATTGTAATATCATGGGAACTCCGTTCCCATGACAAAATGTTTAACACAAAGCAAATGTTCTTGTATCTACCCATGAAATTAACCAATAATTAGCCAGTTAATATTTAATTTTTCCTTACTTAATCCTGAAACTCAAATGCGACCTGTGTGATGTAACCTAGCTTCCAGGTGATGTCACTTAGCTTTCAGGTGATGTCACCTACCTTCCAGGCGATGTCACCTACCGTCTAGGCGATGTCGCCTACCTTCTAGGTGATGTCGCCTACCTTCTAGGTGATGTCACCTACCTTTTAGGCGATGTCGCCTATTTTTTTGGTGATCAGTTTTACCAGGGTTTCCCCGTAAGCCGCCGTGATAAGAAATGCTGGTCGGTTCACACTTGGTTTAAGTCTCAATTTACGTCCCTTTTTGAATATTATTCAAGGCTTTATTACATTATTGGGTTCTTAATGGCTTTCACTACCTGTTTAAAGCAAAATTTGCAAAAATGAATGTTGACTGAATTAAAAAATGTCGAAAAAACACAAGCAGTTCGTGATTTCTCCATAAGCCACCATGATAATAAGTGCCGTTGGGTTCACACTTGGTTCACACTTCTCGGAGCACAAGCAGCTCGGAAAGGCCCGTTCATAGATTGACTTCATCGGCGCTCCAGTACATCGCGACTCTATTGTACTCTATAGTCGCAGTGTACTAGAACTGGGGAAACAAGTGACAAAAGTTATATCAGTCTGGATACATCGATCATCAGTTGGCCCATTGGTTAGTATGTAAATATCTGTTGAATGGTGCAATTTTTTATGTGACCTTTGTCTCTTCTTTCCTTTCCCCAGTTCTAGCGCTGTAATCGCCGTGGCCTGATATACTACTACCAACACTCGGTCTCGTTAACATCTGTGTAGGACATCCCCCCCTCGCGCTAATTCAGCTTCCCTAGCTTTCATGGGCAGGAATCGCTACCGGACTATAAAATTCATGTACCAAATTTGACAAAGAAATTCAACAAAATAAAGGCAGGGTTTTTTTAGAGGAAAAAATATCGCATTCGATACTGATATCGAAACTGCACTCGAATGCGATATTTCTCATCTGGAAAAAGCTTGCCTTTATTGCGTTGAATTTCTTTGTCGAATGTACATGAATTTTATTTTCTCTTGACGACAGAAGTGCGATCTGGAAATTTGAAAAAGAATGACAAGTAGCTGAAATTATGGAACGAATTGATGCGATATATCGCCCGTCGCTCTGACACAAAAAATGGCAACCGTCGGATCACCGTAAGTACCTACATAGCTTGATCCGAACATTGAATAGAGCAACACAAATGATTTTACCTGGTGACTTGAAAAACCACCCTGCTAAAATGATCGAATTCCTTCCTTTAAAAGCGCTTGAGTCAACGCCAAAATAGACAGAGCCGACTTAGTCAATACGTAAGTCGGACCAACGCTCGAGGCGACTATGATCAGACTTATTTGCTGTTAGTTTCGGCCTTTTTTGACATGAACTTGAGAGTCATTCAATGCTGCCATCAGTGTCAGATCTGTTTCATAACCAAGCACTACTAATAATTTTTACCAGGACTCCTATTACTTGGATATATTAATAAAAAATTACTTTCAATTCCTCAAGGTCAGGGCGTTCTGCTTTTACTACCTCCGCGAGTAGTTGTTCTTCTAATCCTTTGTGAGTAACAGTGAAATTTATCAACGTGGTTTGTGCTTGCAATTCCGGTTTATAATGAGGATTTGCCAGTTTGGTTTGCAGAATGAGGCGGAACTTTGGGTTGAATATCATTTCTTTTTCACCCACTTTGACTGCTCTGAAAAATGTAAAAGAGGTCTAAAGTTATTCATCTCTTAGAGTAATACACCCTTGAATGTTTGAAATTAAATCTCTTCCTTCACACTTCAAAGTTATAGATTTACTTCGAGCATCACAAACTTTATGGGTGAAAGCAAAAATTCCTTGTATTAGGCCGGTTATTAATAATTGATTGTATCGTATCGTATCGTATTCTAGAACATTATTCAATTCTTCTTCTCTTCCTCCATCCCCAAAACAGATTTTGTCAATTAAAAGCGCTCAGGTAATACGTAGCAGCAGATGCCAGTGATCCCAAGCGTATGGATACATCCGTGTCGTGCAGATCTTCCCTATCCTGGCGTGGAAAGCGTACGGACAAAAACCTTATAAGAAAACGCTTCCCTATCTTAAGATATCCGTACGCCTGACGTCACAGAATGACGAAGTAGCCAATAGCACCACAGAGAAAGGCAGAACGTATACATCTAGTACATGGAGCACCCGGGAACACTGGCAGATACCTACCAAACCTGAAAACGCCTTAGTTCTAGATGACGCAATTCGTAGAGATGAATTACCAGATTTTTAAAATGATTATACCAATATACGACTGTATGGTCATGAAAGAAGAAGTGCCGAATGATATTGATAAAATGAAGTGAAAATAAAAATATTCTAGATTCAAAAGATTTTAAAGATTTCTTCTTGGTTTTCAAAAACTTGCCTAACACTTTTATCCTTGAAGTTCAAACCCCCATTTTCTTTCATCTCCCTATATATGGAGAGTGAATATGAGAGAATTTTAACTTTTGTACGTTTTAATGTTCAACGGTTGCCAATTTTATAATCCATCTATCTTCCATATTAATAAAAACGCCACTCCACTGACTGATCTCTATATCTTTGGATCATTTGATTGGGAAGTTCCCATTTTTGGTATGAGGGCTCCTTGGGGGTTGGTGACGCGAGATAAGCGGCATCTTCCCTAGATATGCAATCCATCCCGAGTTAAACTGGTACGTAATAGGATCGTAAAGGAGGTAGCTGGGGGATAATCTTCGACCCATCGATCTTCGACTCATCGATTTTCGATCTATAGACTTTTGATCTATAGATCTTCGACTCATCGATTTTCGATCTATCGATCTGCTACTTATCGAATTTGGACCTATTGACCTTTAAATAGGAACCTACTTTTTAAATAGGAAAATAATACGAGGCACGAATTTTGAAACAATAAAATCGAAGTTGCTATTGGAGAAATGGATTTTTTAAACTAAGAAATGGAGCCATGCAATACGCTCCTAGGATAAACCAATCGAAAATAATGCATTACAGTGACTAAAATTTAGGAATGAAATTTTGAAATTCAAATGAAATGAAAGCTACTTAAGGTAAGTTTTTACTTTAAACTTTAAAGCCTTAAACTTTTAAACCTAATAACTTTTTTTAAATGAAAATCACGAAATAACAACAAATTCCTTTTACCGTATGATCTACCTCTATGTTCTCATGGTTTTCAATCCATATTTTAAAGGTTTAAATTAATGTTTTTTTTACAGACGCCGCAGATAATAATCGGACGCCTTCAATCGTTGGAGTATGCGACATCACATGCACAGGATTAGGTGTGCTGTCAAAAAATGAAGCCGATGTGAAAAAGCGCTCCTCCTTTGGGATGCTTTAGTAATGTTCAAGGTCCTCATCCTCAAAAAAGAAGAAAAGAAAAATTGAGCAATTTTTTTATTATTATTATTTTTTAAAGTGGAACTTGTTATACCTGATGCTCTGTTATTCCGTCAAATCTTCAAAGTGATCTTCATTTTACTGCAAACAATAGTAAATTTACAATAGTAAATGCCAACTAAATCAGAACGCAGTATGATCAAGAGAACTTAGCATACTGATTTCAGATTCGTAAATAGTGTTACCGATCAGATATTGCATCAGATATTACCTAAAATATCGGTTCCTCAAATCGTGAGGTTGAGGCTGTCAATAAGATAATCTCAATTCAGATAATAATCAAGAGTAGAACGGCGTTTTCGGAATTGAAAGCGTAGCAGATATCCTTCTTGCCAACTTGGAGTGCCAGGAATCAGAGAATCACAATTATTCTTGCGTTTTCAATTTTCAGATAGAGAAATGTCAAAAATGTCAACCGCCCCTACCCCATCAGGATATACCATGTTTTTTTTGGCTCACCAAGTTTGTGGGTAAAAATTGCTTAATTTCTCTTTTCTTCTTTTTTGAGGATGAGGACCTTGAACATTACTAAAGCATCCCAAAGGAGGAGCGCTTTTTCACATCGGCTTCATTTTTTGACAGCACACTTAATCCTGTGCATGTGATGTCGCATACTCCAACGATTGAAGGCGTCCCGCTTAACAACTTTAAAGTCACCAAATTATTGCTCTTACTTGGCCAAATAAAGGAAAAAAAATTGATACCATTGATTTCCTTAAACTAGAGGGTATTTGAAAGATAACAGTTTCTGGAATTTTCATTATTCGCGTTTCCTCAAATTTGCCGCCATGTTAAATTTTCCGAAATTTTATTTTGAAACAATGTCATCCAAACTTGTGACAACGTCAGTTGTTTTTCCTTGCCTTAAAGGGCACTTTTCAAACTTTTCATTCCAGGTTTGTTTTTGTTTTTTCGGTAATTGGGAGCTCAACGGTGATTTTTCGAAAAGTGGTCAATTTAAAATTTTGACCGGCTGTAACTTTTGAACGAGTGAACCGATTTTAATTTTATTTGCGTCATTTTTCTTGTCTTTTTAAGTTCTTTTTAACCATGTCTAAAGAAATGGGGGTTGCTATTTGAATTTTGAAAGTTGCCCCCCCTTGGGGCCCCCCAGGGGGGTCCACCAAGAAAAACCCCCCATCGAAAAATTTCCCCCTCTGGATGATGAAGAATGCCACAAACCACGAGCTTCTATCTTTTTTTGTTCAAAAATTATACCCACTTTTCAGTTACTTTACGGACACCCGGTATGGTTGTTGAATTGTTGTTTGAATGCGTTTTTTTTTGCACTTCATCTTACAGGCTTTGCTCAATCGTGGTACTTTTCTATATATGTTTAGCTTGGCGGGGAGATTTGCCGATTTCTGTGGTACGGAAGCGGAGACCAATTTGCTTTGCACATTTTTAAGTTAATAAAATATTGTATTATTTAAAATTCCTTACTTTCCTCTGTGAATTAAATTCCGAGCTATTAGATTGGATAAAATGGGGTCAAGGCTTTCTCCGATGTTTTCAATCAATAGAGGTCGCCCATCACGTAGACATTCCTCTAAGATGTCCATTGTTTGATCTTGACCAAGACGAACCACGTTCAAATGATCACCATACTTATTTTTTATCCATTTTATACCTTGAAGCTGAAAATGAAATATTTAAAAGTTGGTGAAATACAAAAATCAAAATAAAAAAAGTCAAAGTCAAAAATCTTTGAGCTAATTTTAAAAGGATGAAAGATTGGTTATATTTCTGCACTTGTTCCTCTTCGATTTCAGTCTCGTATTAGAATCAGTTTTTTTCAATTTTGATGGTGATATTTCGTTTGTTCACACGGGGAAAATTGAGCCGTTTCACTTACTTTTAAATGATGAATCCAAACGGTACTGCCGTCATATGTTTCGGATGACTCGTTTTATTTATTTCTTTATTTATTTTTGTTTTTATTTATAGTAGGTACCTAGTGAGTTTTTTTGGGATTTGGCTGCAATTTTTATACAAAAATTTAATTTTTGTTTTTTTGGGATCGTAGATTACAGAGTATCTCTTGGTCCTTAACCTTTCAACCTTTTGAAAGGAAAAACGTTGAAATATGTTCTGAATGCCCTCAAAGCACCGATCCAGAAAAATGGACCTGGCGGTTTTAAGAAATTTCGAAACATCGATTATCCCGCATTTTCCAGTCATTTCGTAGGAAATTGCCGCATCTATCGTTGATAAAAGGCCCATTTCTGGTCACTGAACCTTGAATTAGTTTTTTGGAGGGACCTAAGTTAACGTTCTGCAAGTTCTCAAAGCACATATGAAAAAAAAACAAGCGGGAAAGCTCTAATACGTGGGTATTAGAGAAGCGCTCAGCGGTGAGCGCAATTTTAATGAGTCTCAGCTTTAATTTACTGCCTTTTAACTGAGTATGTTTAAATTTGCAATTATAAAATTAAGTAATTCTTAATATATGAATAAAACATCTAAAACGGTGCTTTGCCCGCCCCCACCAAAAAAAAACAATTCCAAGCTCCAAAAGAAAAAATAATGATCCATTGTTTAATTATTGGAATATTAATACATAAAAAATCCTTGATTTCTCATAAAAATAGAAAAAACTAATACGGCTAATAAAAAATAACTTTTCTAGAACACTGTATCAAAGATGAACTTATCACTTAACGAAACCAAATTAGGTGTTTTAATGCTGCCCTACTTGAACAAGTAATAAACAAGCAGTGAACTCCAACACAATGTGCTGATAAGGCGCGTCATTAACTCGCACATATCAACCCCTTTAGTTTTCATTTACAGAGATTTCAAAATAGGCAAGCACCACAACAAGAGAATTCACGATCCAACACTGCGAGGTCAACGACGCACCTTGGCAAGACCGTGTATTGTGAATGTAGAAAACCATTCGAACGAGTTTCAGTTTTTTGATCTGCCGCAAGAAAAATCTTATAAGATTCTTTGAAGAAAAGTGCTACGGAATAATTTAAGCAAAGAAAGGAAAAATTCTGTCGAACTCCTGAAAGATAAAGTCGATTTAAAGGTATTTTGGGGCTAAAATACCCAAATTATCGGTATTATAAATCCCACTATATTACTGAAAGGAAGTTCACTCGATATAAATGCAATTGCTTTAAATACTAGCCGTTCTGGGCGCGCTTCGCGCGCCCGTCACGTCTAGCCGGGGGGCTGCGCCCCCTGGACCCCCGGTCACTCGCTACGCGAGCCGATTTTGTAGTGGTTGCGAATTTTTTATCACTTTATTAAGAAGATTTCATAAAAAACATTATTAAATTTTCACTTCACAATTAACTTGTAGAATAACAATGACGGGGCAAGAGATAGACTGTATCTTGAAATGGACGGTTCCCACTTAGCAGAAACAGCCAACACCACGAGTAAGTGAGGAACCATCTTTAGCCACTTTTTTTTTTACTTTTCTGAAAAATATTACTGAAATTTTAGTTGCGCTTCCTTAAATGATAAGTATTAATATAAATTTCCCTTTTTTACAGTGTTGTTAAAATAATAAAAAGTTACCCAGCGGGAAATTTCATTTATATTCCCGGTGGGCCTGCTACTCAAAATTTGATTTGCCGTTATTCAATTGAGCTGGGCCTAAGAAATCCCACAAAACCCATTAAATTTACATTGACAGGTCGAAAGTTCGTCTTATGACGCACAATGTTAAACAGCGAATTTATTGTGTCGCCAGACGACACGTCCTGCAATACGTCATCATTGAAGCTGGATTCATGCTTATTTTATCAAAAATATCCTCAGAGAACAAAGGATAGGAAAAGAAATATTAGAACAGAAAGGAAAAGAAAAGACAGAAAAACGCAGAAGAGATTCAAGAAAAGCACAGTATAACAGAGAAAAATATATAGAAAAATAACAAAGAAAATGACTCCACTAGGGTAATCTGAGCTCAGCTGCGTGTGAGCATGAGCAAGATAAAAAAACACCGAGGAGGTTTAAGAAAAACACAGCAGAGAACCAAGGAAAACACAGTAAAGCAGAGAAAAAGTACAGTCAAATAAATAAAGAAAATTACTATCGAAGAAATTCTAATCATTCGGAAAATAATTTGCTGGCGTAATCTATGCGTTGCGTGGGAGCATGAGCGAGATTTGTCATCAACTGACCGCTGGCCGCTAGGTATGTACCCTGGTACCTGGGTGGGCGAGCGACAATGCGTAAGCGGTGGCATGGTTCGATTGACAGAGGAAAGGGGAACGGTCAGACATAGGGGAAAGGTTCAGGCTGAACCGTTCAGCACAGCGCAGCGTCAGTCACCGGGTGGGGAAGAGAGGCGGGGAGGGGACACTTCCCCTCGAGTGAAATAGAAAAAGGCAGAATCCTTCGAGGTTTATATTAATGATGATGATGATGTCTTGATTTTGTTACTTTAAACGTCTTTTCATGGAAAGAAGTTCAACCATGTGTATGCTTTATTCATTCATGAATTGAAAGTAAGAAATCCACATCCCGAAAATCTACCGATTTGCCGTAAATAATCGCAGAAACTTGATGTACCTGGTCGAAGTACCCACTCGTTGAATTTACGAATCAATTTCGTGAGTGCACATATGCAAAAGTCAATATGCTATAGTCATTTTGGGTGCCTTCATTTTTCAAGAAACAATTACAAGTAATTTCAATCCCGAAGAACCATCAATTTTTCATATAAAATCGAAAAAATCAAAATATGTCCACTCCCTGACGTGAAAATTAGATTCTACGTGTGAAAATGCTTATGCATCGATATGCTGAACAGAATCCATGTCTATCTCAAAATTTTTCTCAGAGGTTTGTGTTATTATCAGCTTCCCTTTAAACCCCAGTTCAATGGCCGAATCGGCTGCCCAAAAAGCAAGCCATTTTTGATGGGTTCTATGAGAAATTCGTGATATTATCGGCTCTCAGGAAATCACCTCATGGTTATAACTGGTGGTATAAATGTTTGAGTGCTTAAAATGATCGTATATTTAAGGAACTAAGACATTAAAGTATGGTGTCAATTTCTTTTTTAAAAGTTTTCAGCCGATTTTTATGAATGAGGTCTCTTTTTATTTGTGTTTTAACGGAGAGTAAGGAATAAATTGCTAAACACACGCGAAACAATTTTTTTTGAAAATTGGCTGAATCCTACCGTGACGGTGAAATGGTTAATCCAGCGTAAGTAATTGGGGTACGGGTCTAGGGCGCACCGGGACCCAAGGCGGCCCAAGGCCCATTGTTCTTCATGACACCGACGCAATGATCAGGAGCGTGGGGAACAGAGGGATAGGTGGATTCCTGTATAAGCCACGTTTAGCAAATGGTCTAATGAGTCTCAAGGCTCATCACAGATTGCACTTACGCTGCCCTGGCTGATGGAGGAGTGCTACCAAATTTTGAAAAGCATAACAGGGGTGTGGAGATCTGTCAAAGCAACGTTTTGAACGAAACGGAGGGAGTGAAATTCTCATTCGAAGAGTGCCGAATTGGTCAGCCATCCTCGAATCAGTTCGCTTGATTCTGCTTATATTTGCATATTTTAAATCAGCGGTGCGTATTCTTAGGCTTTTTTTAAAAAAAACCAAGTAACGTAGACTCTTGGTATTCACTGCACATAAACTAGAAAGCCCCAGAATGAAAAACAACTTTAAATCATAATTATTGACGGATACATACACTTTTTACATGCTTTGGAAAATCTCAGAAGTTCGCGGTAGTCACTTTTCGGTAAGGAACTAAGGGATTCGGTTATTGAATCGAGCAGGGTTCGAAACGATCGCAAAGGCGGTATACTACGTATACGCGCCAACAATAAATAAATAATAAATAATAAAGTCTGGTAAAATATCATAAGAATCCGTAGATAAACAAACATATTACGGACTCAGAGGCCTGCGATAGTTAAGAGATTGAATTTAGGGGCCCATCTATATCAAGCCAGGCTGGTCTGGTGGTAAAGTACTGGACTTCGGATTGCAACTCCATCCCGAGGCGTGGGTTCTAATCCCGACTAGGACGGCGCGGGTTTTAAGGTAAGTCACAACTCTACGATGATCCACCATCTGATAGTAACCCATATGCACGTTCGAAAGAACATTAGTACCAAATACATCATCTAGAGAGCGCGCACTCTAGGGTGCAATTCTTGTGCAATATTTTCAAAACATTCTTATAATACTTTGACAATATTCAAGAAATATTTTTTAAACAAAATATGATGTTAACATTAACATATTTTAAAAATATTTTTAAAGGTTTCCCAAAATATTTTGTGAAAATATTAATTTCATATTTCAAAAATGTCTTAAAAATATTTGTTGTCTAACTGGGCTTGAATAGAGATGAAAGATTTGAGGATTTCTTTGCGAGGAAATGTAAAGACATTTAAAGAAATAATTAAGGATTAAAGGTATAGCTGAAAGACTTTGGAAGACTATTAAGTGCTGCTGAAATGAGGAGATAAAAGAGGAAAGTTGACAAATGAGTCGGAGTTCAGTGGTTTGCATACTGAGAATGCAGATCTTCATTATTTGAATATGCCACAGAGTAAAGTTCAAAACGTATTGAAAATCCCTGTTTAGCGATTAGTGGTATTAAGCAAGATGGACTACATTATCCGATATTTTCAGACATACCATAATGA